AACCCTAAACCCTATAAACCCTTTTTGGTGGCAGGTCGTTTCTGGATCACAACCGCGGAGCCTGGAGCTTCTTCGGCAACCTTGGGAGGCTGCCAGGGCGTTTAGGGCATTTAGGGAGTTTAGGGTTCAGAGTTTTAGGGCTTTTAGAGTTTAGACTTTTTAGAGTTTAGGGTTCAGGGTTTTAGGGGCTTTTAGAGTTTAGGGTTCAGGGCTTTTAGGGCTCTTGGAGTCGGGGGGTTCAGGTTTTTAGGCTTTTTGGAGTGTAGGGTTCGGGGTTTTAGGGTTTTTTGAATTTAGGATTCAGGGTTATAAGGCTTAGGGTTATAGAGTTTAGGGTTTCAGGGTTTAGGGTAGTGTTTGGGGCTATTTCGAAGCAACCCCTGCAGTCGGGCCACCGGCTGCTGCGAATTTCCTTCAGCACATTGCGAGCCGGCGTGCTTTTGCTTTTGTCGACGCTGCTCCTGCTTAGGATTAAGTTTAAGGGTTTAGAGTTTAGGGTTTAGGGTTTAGGTTTTAGGGTGGTGGGTGTTCTGGTTTAGGGTTTAGGGTCTGCAAGCGACCCCAAGCTCTCCCCCGGGCAGCGTGGCCCACTCCTGATCTAGGAGTTAGGATTACGGGGACCCTTAAAAATATGGACGCTCTACTGAGGTCCCTTTGAAGAGAGCCATAAGTAGGGTTAAGAAGGGTCCCCTTTAAAGGGTCTCCCTAGCTTAGGATGATCCCAGGGTCATGTTTGAGAGCACGTGCATGCATGAAATTTATGGCAGTCATCTAACATGATGGCAGCATCGGCTCTGCCTCTTGTCTTTCCGCGATGAGTTGGATGCCGCAGGCACGACGTCTCCTGGTAACAGATGATTTGCGAAGGTCTCACGACATCCTCTCGACTGTACCTAGTCCTTCATCGTCGAGTGAATCCGGAGAATCACGCGGCTGTTTCTTCTCCTCCAGCCAACTCACTACAGCAAATCTGTCCCACGACTGTTGACGAAGTGCGATTCCAAAGCTGTGTGCTGCCAACGAAGTTGCCACAAGCACAACGAGTCAAACATCACAGGATCGCCTTGAAGGAAGCTTTCGCCTTGAAAGGTGCCCTCTGCACACTGTTCCGCTTCGCAAACGGATCACCTGCCAAGGACTTCTCTCTCTTGCGCAGACAGGATACATGGGTAGTTCTCTAAATTTCAGGTCCCTTTTTATAGTACGGCACCCCTATAAAAAGGACCCCCAAAGGGGACCCTATTTTAGAGAACTGCTCACATGCAAATTGCACAAAGCATCTTGAATCTCGCATCCTCGCCTGATGCTCCGGCGACTCTCATGTAAACGCAGCTCGCCTGAAACACGCTTTCTGGGTTGCGGTTTTGGAACTTAAAACTAAGCTACCATAACAGGGATCTAGAAGGCTTCTTTTTCAAACGGCTCCTTTCAGGGATCTATAAGGGTTCCTTTAAAAGGTTCCTTAAAGGGATCCATAAGGGTTCCTTCAAGGGATCTGTGAGGGTTCCTTGAAGGGAGCTATGGGGGCTCTCCAAGGGATCCATAAGGGTTGCTTCATGTGATCTATGAGGGTTCCTTTAAGGGATCCATAAGGGTTCCTTTAAGGGATCTATGAGGGCTCCTCTAAGGGATCTTGAGGGTTCCTGTCAGGGATCTATGAGGGATCTCCTTTCAGGGATCTATGAGGGCTCCTCTAAGGGTTTAGAGTTTACCACGGTCTTCACTCCTCTTGTAACGGCTGGAGCCCCCCTGCCTCGGGCGGAACGGCCGTCCACAGGAGGTGCCACTCTATCGCTCCACATCACCGAGTTGAGGAGTTGAGGGGTTTAGAGCTTTAGGGGTTTAGGGTTCAGGGGTTTTGGGGGGTTTAGGGCTTTAAGGGGTTAAGGAAGTTAAGGGTTCAGTAATTTAGGGTTCAGGGTTTAGGGGCTTAAGGGGTTTAGGGGTTTAGGGCTTTAAGGGGTTTACGGGTTTAGGGTTACATCAGCGAAAAAAGACTGCGACGGGACAAACTCGTTGCTAACCTGCTTCGACTGCAGAGCAGTCCGCGTGGCTTCAATACCTGCTGGCCATGATCATTTGCGTCATGATAGTGCTAACAATCACAAAAATAAGTATTGTTAAAAACAATAACAATAATGATAATAGTAGTAAGAATAATAATAGTAATAGTAACAGTAACAGTAACAGTAATAGTAATAGTAATAGTAATCATGATGGTAATAATAATAATAATAGTAAAACAACCATAATGTTATCATACTCATAGTCATAATTATAATGACCATACTCATAGTGATAATATAGTCATAAGCAAAATAGTCATAACCAATAATAATGAGTAGTGATCCTGATCCTGTGCATGGCAACTCTGGGCCGACCAGCCGGAAGTGGGGGCAGAGACCTGCCTGGGACTAGCTTCTTGCCTTACAGGTTTTGGGCTTAGGCCTTAGGGCCCTTGGGTTGAGGGCTCAGGGTTTAGGGGTTGAGGGGTTTAGGGTTTAGGGTTTAGGGTGAGGGTCTAGGGTTTAGGGTTTAGTGTTTGGCGTTGAGGGTTTAGCGTTTGGGAGAGGGGGCCGTGGCAGGAGGGGTTGCCAAACAACAACGACTTTTCTTCACGACCAACGTTGCACGAGGCTCAGCTACTTGGTGAGCTGCTGGCTTACTAAAACTTGAAATGGCCAGTGACTTGGCAATATGCTGAAGCAGGTTGCCACCACCACGAAGCGTTTTCCACTGTACAGCACTGTATGGACCCCCGCACGACCGTTGGCGTTTACTTCACAGTGCCCCTCGCACACAGGCACGATTGCTACGCGGCTGGCCCGAAGGGTTTTCTAAGCTACTGTGAGCTTATTTTCAAGTTTCTTTCAGGGGCTAGCGCCCCTCAAAACTCAGATGCTCTGCAGGAGAGAGAATTGTCGATAACATCTCCCTTGAAGAGTCTGCTGCATTTTGCAGAAAAAGTGCCGTGGTTTCGAGCACTGACATGATCGCGTGTTCGTCCGCCTTCGCCGGAAATGAAGGCATGACCAATTCGCCTACTTCCACGGCCACTCTGAATTTAAACCAGAAAGCCCAGTCCCCCCTTAACTAAGGCATGCACCTTAAACTCTAGTGGGGTTCGTATTATCATTGAACATCTATTCCTGAATTAAGGGGTCTCTGAACTTGAACTCCCCATAGCTCAGGGCAGAAGCACCATGTCCAATCGACGGCTTGCTGAAACCAAACCTGCGAGGAAAGGGTGTTTAGCTGGCCCAAGTCAAGGGGTTTGGGGGGTGAGTGAGTGGGGTATACTGTCTAATTATTCCGGGTGCCCTGTTACTGCTGTAGTATACATACTAGAACACCATAGAATGATGGCATGCTGGAACCACCTAGAGTCCTAGAGTGTACTGCCGACTTGCGCCCCAAAAGATTGAACGCTGCATGTCATTCAATCCTCTACAACGGTATGGAAGGGTCATAAGACGAATGGCGGCAATGGCCTTGTCGAAAACAACAAACCCACAACACACCCTTCGGAAGCTGAGAGAACCATGTTTAGGCAGGACCCCATATCTGGCTTGGCTTGTCGACTGCTTGGGTGTTAGCGTTTAGGGTGTTAGGGTTTGGGGTTTAGGGTACAGGGTTTGGGGTTTAGGGTTTGGGGTTTAGGGTTTAGGGTGTTAGGGTTTGGGGTTTAGGGGTTGTAGTTCCAGCAAGACTACACGATACTAGACCAGGAGCGCAAACGCGACTGTCGTCCGCTACGAGGCACAAGAGAACAAAGTGGCACTGATTGCCCCAAGCAAAACAGCAACGAACTAATCCTGCTGAAAATGATGATGACGATGCTGATCACTGAGCCTGAACCTGTCCATGATGGAACAGCAAGAAGCACAATAACAACATAGTAATAGTAGTAGTAGTAGTAGTAGTAGTAATAATAATAATAATATGAATGATACTAATAATTAAAATAATAGTCATAATAATAATTATACTAACAACAAGTAATATCAGCAAGATCTCCCCAGCTGCGACACTGTACATGATGACCAATGCGCACATGAATGCTAAAAGCGACTGGGACGACACCAAAAGTCAACACTGAATATGCAGTCGTGTGACGTTGACAGGTGAAGCCAGTCAACGCCTCAATCTGCACTTTCCATCTGATCGCTGCCGCAGGCTTACAAGCTGTCTTGCAGCGAAGGTGCAATCGAAGCCTGGATTCCATCAGGACGAATCCAAACTTCACATCTCCCACTGCTGAACTCGATGCCCACACAGCCGACGACCTGGAAAAAAAGGGGAAGGCAAGCACCGGAGCGTCGAACAAGCGGCGGCCTGAAGGCACTCGGCTTGGCAATCTCCAAGAGCCTGGATGCCTGCCCGTCTACCAAAAAGAGCGGATGCTGTGCTTTCTACACCACAGAGTCATGGATCGGACCACACGACCTGGGATGACTGTGTAGTGGGACGGAGCATTGTCGGAAGATGATGCCCCACGGCATGCTCGACTGACTCCACCATCCACAGCCGCGAAACGTGTCGCGATGGCCCTGCCGCACACTCTCACTTAGAGCTTGTTGCGAAGGCAAGACATCTTACCCGTCATAAACATCACTGCATCGCTGCTTTTGAAGCACAAAGCAAAGGAAAAGACAAATGTGGGAAGTGAGCTTTGGCAAAGAGTGTGCATGCTAGCACTCATGCGTTGCGATTGCAATACATACTCTAGCACAGCAAAGACGTCTGCACACCCATCTTGCAACTGGATGGACCAGCAAGGCATGCTTGTGACTCAAGCAGGTATAGAGTATCGCAAGCATGTCCCTTGATGCCCTTGAAGCAACTGCTAAGTATTGCTAAGTGCTGCTAACTCAACTGCTCTTGATCGACATATACATGCTAGCTGAAAGGCCGAATGGACAATTCCATCGAAGGGCTGCCGGCATCGTCAACAACGTCCTCCTACGAACGCATAAGGTCGCTTGGTAGGAAGCCTCAATCTTTCTTCCGAAGCCGAAAGTGCATCCTCAGAAAACGGCGTCTTACAGTGTCCCAGACTGCAATGCCCAAGAAGCACACAAAGTCTACATCCCAGTTTCTTGTCACACAATGCTGCTCCTTGTACTGGTCGTTGCTGTCAAGGCTAGCGTTGTCGTTGCAAGAGGTGGGGTGTAGCTCAGGCACGTGAAGCCATTCAATGCCTCAAGCTGCACTTTCCCTCTGCTGCACTTTCCCGCTCATCCCGCCGTACACGGGGACACGCTGTCCCCAGAAAGCCCAATACCCCTTGCTTAGGGCGAACACCTTAAGTTATGGCTGGGGGTCTTCACTTTATGCCCTCAGGTATGTATGTATATGTGTGTATATATATATATACAGTTATTTGCCCATTTGCTTATATGTTCATATGTGTCTGTCATGTGTGTATCTATGTAAGTAAAAATGATGTGTATATATATATATGTATATATATATATATATCTGTTCATGTGTATATACATATGTACGAAGGTATGTACATATATATATACACATATATATATGTTTATATATATATATGTATATACACTTATACACACTTATTGATGTATCTATTTATGCATTGCAGTATACATTCCCCTCAATGAAGGGGTGGTGGTCTTGCAGCGAAGGTGCAATCGAAGCTTGGATTCCATCTGGACGGATCCAAACTTCACATCTCCCGCTGCTGAACTCGATGCCCACACAGCCAACGACCTCAAGAGGGGATGGAGGCCGAGCCAGGGTTTCGAGTTTAGGGTCTGGGGTTCGGGCTTAAGGTTTAGAGTTGAGGGTTTAGGGTTTGGGGTTTAAGGTTCAGAGTTTAGGGTTTAGGGTTTGATCCGACGCCCTACGCCCGAACCCTACGCCCTAAACTTGAGTGTCCGAAAAGTGTGGCGGCCTGAATGCACTCGGTTTGGCAATCGCCAAGAGCCTGGATGCCTGCCACAAGAACGGCTGTTCAAGGGGTTCCTTTAACAAGGGTCCTACAACGTTACGTTAAGGTGGGTTCCTTTTCCTTTCTGGGTTCCTTTGAGGCCAGTTTCTACGAAGCTTTGACCACCACGACCTGGGATGACTGTGTAGTGGGACGGAGCATTGTCGGAAGATGATGCCCCACGGCATGCTCGATTGACTCCACCATCCACAGCCGCAAAACGTGTCGCGATGGCCCTGCCGCACACTCTCACTTAGAGCTTGTTGCGAAGGCAAGACATCTTACCGGTCATAAACATCACTGCATCGCGGTTTGAAGAATAAAGCAGGAGGAAAAGGTCAAGCATAGACAGCGAGCCCTGCCGAATACGAAAAAGCAGGAATTGCCTGTGCCTGCACGCAGACTAGCACTCTTATGTAGCGATTGCATGAAGTACTCTCTCACAGCGGAGACCTTCGCACACAGATCTTGCAACAACATAAACCAGCATGGTAGGCAATTGGAGTATTCCAAACAAAACCTGTTCTGAACTACAATGCCCAAAAAGGGACACTAATCACCAAACCCTAAACCCCAAATTTTGTCACAGCTTGATGCTCCTTGTACTGGTCGTTGCGGTCGAGGCCATCGTTGTCGTTGCCGTTGTTGCAAGAGGTGGAGTGTAGCTCAGGCACGTGTAGCCATACTGGGCACAGCAGGTGTGTGTTTCTGGGGGCCTTGTCGTAAAACCGACTATAGTAACTTGTGAAGGTTTAGGGTTAGGGTCTGAGAGTAATCAGCTCAGCAACCCTGATGCACAAGGAAGCCTAAATCACCTCCCCCCTAGTTAAGCCCTCAAACCCTAAACCCTAAACCCTGTTCAACAGGCCGAGCTGCCAGGTATATGGAGGCCTGGACACCTCCTGGCCGCGTCCAGACTTCACAACGGCTTCCGCGGTGCTCGATACCAACACATGCCTGCACACATGCTGAAGCATTCCGGCTGATTGCCAGGCTGGGCCCTAAACCCTAAACCCTATACTCTAAATCCTAAACCCTAAACCCTAAACCCCGTACCCTAGGCCCTACACCCTGCACCCTGAACCCTATATCTTAAATCCTAAACCCGAAATCCCTAACATTGGGCAGCTCGCCTCCCTTCGGATGCACTCCAGCTTGCAGGCCTGAAGCGTCTCGATGCCATCGACCACCTCAAGGCGCAAGAGCCCACAGAAAACCGATGTCCCAAACCTCAAGCGTCTCGAGAACCCAAGCCTCTAGAAGCCTTATGGTAACCCCTCTATGTTTAGGGTTTAGGATTCTAAGGTGTATAGCAACCCCTATATGTTTAGGGTTTAGGGTTTAGGATTTTAGGGTGCATAGTAACCCCGATTATATGTTTAGGGTTTAGGGTTTAGGGTTCGCCCTTCTGATCCTAACCGCCACGAAAACCCTTGGCCCAAGCTCTGCCGAAGTGCAACGTAGTGGTCGCCGCTGTTGTCGCCGGCCGACTGCCCCCGGCAGGCGCGGTTCACGCCTCCATCCACCGGCAGGAACCTGAGTAACCTCAGAGCACAGCAGAGTTGCGGGTGGAGGGTTTAGGGTTTTAAGGTTTCGGGTTTAGGGTTTAGGGTTTTAGGGTTTAAGGTTTAGGGTTTAGGGCTTAGGGTTACAACCCTAAACCCTAAACCCTAAATGAGGGCCGGGCTCTGGCACGAGCACGCTGACAGACACAGCTTTCCCCTTTCCTGGTTTCGTCACAACCTGGCTTGCGGCATAGGGTTTGGGGTTTCGGGTTGAGGGTGGCAGTCCTACTCTGCAAAGCAACTGCAGCAATCAACGAAACACTCCTTCTGGCGCGCTACACCCTAGACCCTAAACCGACTCAACGATCTCAAGTGGTACGCCATGATGCATGAAGTTCTCAGCACTAAGAGCAAGCAGCCTCCGCGAGTTTGCTTCCACCTTTGACGCCAATGAGAGTGTAGGAGCACCTTTGTACAGCAATGCGGTTTTTGGGTTTAGGCGCAGTTTCGGGTTTTTGCTGGTCCACATCTCTCTGTTTCCTGTCTCGCTATGCAGCGCAGCGGCCGGAAGCAAAGCGGCCGGGGAAACGTGGCACCGCAATCGCGAAGTTGGTTCGCTGCCTGCAGGGGGATTCTAGACTGCTCTGATTCGTTGGTGCGTCTGGCCAAAGAACAGGCTCAGGTAGCTAGAATCAAAGTATATTATAATATGTTATGGTACATTAAAAAATCATATACCGTGCTAGTCTTTACCACACTATGCTCTAGTTCACTTTCCAAAGCGTCTGAAAAGGTTTGCATCCCGTGCCTCCCAACCCATGCCTGCGGAAGCGTCGTCCGATGCTCCGACCAGGATCCTCCAGCTACATGGCAGTGCACTCTAGTAAGTCTCATAGAAACCTGAACCCTAAACCCTGTAACCCCGTGTTGTAACCCCTGTAAGAAACCTCTAGCAGCCCAGCTGTAAATGCTGCGAACCAGGCGTTAAGTGGCAAGGGTGCAGAGCTCCGTTTACTCTAAAGGCTACAAGAAAGGTCACTGAGAAGCACAACCTGACGTCTCTTGGCAGCTTGGCAGCACGTTGCCTTTGGCCGTTGAGTTCAAGTATGCAGCCATGGGCAAAGAATCCTCTCAGTTGAGCTGCACAGTCTTGGGAATTGAACAGCTACACGCCGTGCTGTAGACAAGAATACTGACAAGAATCTGCATGGGTATCGAAGGTCTCGATGTGCTTCACCTCGTGGCGGACAGCCACTAGACAGGCAGCCAAGACTCAAACTCGACTGAGACTCAGTCTGACTTGCATCAAAGCCACTGTCATGTTGGGCCACAGGTCTACGACCGTAAGCCCACGCTTACGAGTCTCATACAGCCGTTGACCATTCCTGAGCCAGAGAGAGGCCTATCCAAGGCCAGTCGAACCGTCCATGCGCCCAGCAGCGCACCACTCCGAAAAACAGCTTTTGCCACCACGCATCAGCCAGAACTCAGCCCGGTTCCCGTCTGAAAACCCGGCGCTGCGCACCACCAAAGCTTGCTCGCCTCGGATTGCTCGCCCGTACCGCCAGCATTGCGAACATCGTGTGCAGGGCCTACCGGCTGATGCAAGCCCAGGTGCCAGGGCCCATGGCTTCGCAGCAAGTTTCCTGATGACGACTGGCGAAAGACCCGAGCCAACGCCCTCTGCCTACTGCGGAGAAGGCACGACGGATGCACCGAGGGTCTCCATCGCAAGGGCGCTGAGCACATAGCCAGAAGGGCAGTTGTACAAGTTGCCTGGTGTGCGGCATGGTGTTGAGAAATTTATCAATGTAGCGGGGCTTGTCTGTTATAACCCCGGAGTCCCAAATCCTGAGTCCCTCAACCCTAAACCCTAAACCCTGAACTCTAAACCCTACAGCCCTAAACCCCCAAAAACCCTAGGGTTTGCCAGTTTTCTGCCGCGGGGCACATGGTCAACACCGGCTCCTTGAAGCAATAAGGGCCAATGAGCGGACCAAACAGACTTAGGGTTTAGGGCTTAGGGTTTAAGTTTAGGGTTTGGGGTTTAGGGTTTTGGGGGCTTAGGGCTTAGGGTTTAAGTTTAGGGTTTGGGGTTTGGGGTTTGGGGCTTAGGGCTTCGGGTTGATAATGAGGTTGCGAAAGGAAGAGAATACTGCAAGGGCTACTATGAGGGCTGCCGCGAAGGCTTCTCAGGGGGCCAACATAGCGGTGACCCAAAGGGGATACTGCGAACCTGCGATTGGGTCTAGGGTTTAGGGTTTTGGGTTTAGGAGGATACTGCGAACCTGCGAAGCTTGCATCTTACCCTGACTAACAGTCGATTTCTCCGAAGGATTCCTCCAGGCGCTTCGGGCTCAGCTGGTCTATACACTTCTAGTTCACTCCAAAGCCGTGTTCCAATCATTAAGTCAAAGGTTTAGAGGTTTAGGTTCGAGATAATCGCCCCCCTAAACCCTAAACCCTATGTTAGATTTTAGCCTAAACCCTAAACCCTATGTTAGATTTTGGCCTAAAGCCTAAGCCCTTTGTTAGAGCTTTGGAGATTTAGATCTTAGAGGTTCCAGTTCTCACCAGATCAAGCCCAGGCACAGGCTTCTTCACTTCGGCGACGGCTACTGCGTATCCGTCTCCTTCCACTTGCACCACCTGAAAAAAAAAACAGCCACCACCCCTTAACGTGTTTAGGGTTTAGGGATTAGGGTTGAATATGCCTGAAATCCTCACATTAAGCTCTCTACCACTTCAAGCAGATTCGTACCTGCGCTCTCTGGGAATCTCATGAGGCAGCCAAGCAGCTGAGGCGGTCAAAACCAAGAATGCTTCGAGACTCAAGCATAACGTGGTTTAGGAGTTTCAGGAAGTGAAAGCCGGATTTAGGCTTCAGGGTTTAGGGTTTAGGGTCTAGGGGTTTCAAGAAGTTAAAACCGGGTTCAGGATGTAGGGTTTAGGAGTTTCAAGAAGAAAAAACCGGGTTTAGGGTTTAGGAATTTCAAGAAGTTAAGGCTAAAATTAAACCCAAAGCGACAGTAGCAAATCCTGAATCCGTCGAAGCCCCCTAGGTGCTGACAGCGTTTTCTGCTGTTGCAAGGCCTCCGAGAGTTTGCTTCCGCCCTTGATGCCGATGAGAGCATAGGCACTCCTGGGGCTGTGATAATTGGAGTAGGAGTATCGTGCCCTAGCGTCTGTGGTGTAGTATGATAGAGTGTGAGTATATAGTATATAGTATAGTATAGTATAGTATACTATAGTCTAGTATACTATACTTTAATAGAGTAAACTACAGTACAGTATAGTACAGTATAGTACAGTATAGTACGGTAGAGTACAGTACAGTGTAGCATAGTGTAGTCTAGTATAGTACAGGGTAGCATGTCTAGTCTAGTCGAGTACAGTATAGCATGGAAAAGTATAGTACAGTTTAGTTACAAGAAGGAACCTTACCAGTAATAACTACTATTCAGGCTTCTAGATTCATGGGCTCTACGCGGCAACCTTGTGCTCCAAGCAAGAACGGGCATGCCCACAGTAAAGGTTCAGGGTTACAATGCTTAGGGTTTAGGGTTTTGGGCCTCAGGGTTTGGGGGTTTAGGGGTTTAGAGGTGTTGGGCTTAGGGGACCTTCTACTCTAAACCCCGAACCGTTGTTTCGGGGACTTCTTACCGGCCTTTGGACACACTTAACACCCCTAAACCCGAAAGCCTAGCAGCCTAAACCCTAAACCCTAAACCCCTAAACCCTAAAGCCTAACAGCCTAAACCCCCGAACCCTAAACCCTAAACCCCTAAACCCCCTACACCGCCTACACCCCAAACCAGTCTTCATGCGACTCAGCGTCCGAAAGGACAGCGGTTGGGGAAATGTGGCCCCACACGCTCGAAGAGCGTTCTCCGCCTCTGTCGCCATGGGGTTTAGGGTTTTAGGGTTTAGGGGTTTAGGGTTTAGGGGTTTAGGGTTTAGGGGTTTAGGGTTTAGGGGTTTAGGGCTCCCAGTATAGATTCGGGACTGCACATTGATCATGTCGCTGAACTTTTGGGCTTAGGGTTTAGGGTTTGGGCTTAAAGGTGCTGCTGTGGGAGCATGTTGCCATCGATGCTTGCACAGCCTCTTGGCTGAAGGCTGCAGAAGGTTCATCCACTGCTCCGACCAGTATCCTTGGACAGGCAACGAACACAGCCAAATAAGCACAACGCTGCGATGATCTCGCCCAACATCGCTTGTCCGTCGGGCATGATGCTATAATCCACGGGCATATGGTCGACATCTACCGGACAACCTGACTGCTTGCTGCTTCGGGACACGTTGCCGTTGGCTGTTGAGCTCAGGTATGCAACCATAGACGATGAATCCTTTCATCTGACGCACTGCGCTCATGAAAGTGGAGGACACACCACCCTGCTCTAGATAAGCATCCGTGAAGGTATCGAAGGTCTCCTTGTGCTTTACCTCGCGGAGCTTAGGTTGTAGGGTTTTGGGACTAGGGTTTAGGGATTGGGGTTAGAGATTGGGGTTTTAGGGTTCAGGACGGGCGACGAAGTCTTACAAGCTGGATTTAACCTTTCAAGTCGCTGTCATGTTAGGCCACAGGTCCACGATCGTGAGCCCTCGCGTGCGGGTAGCATAGATTCTCTGACCATTCCTAAGCTCGCGCCCAAGACATCCCCATCCACCCCCCTTTCACCGACCACTCCGAGAACAGATTTGTGGGTTTCCGAAAATAGGTGACCCTGATATAGTACCCTAAATAGTAGGCTCCTTATTATAAGAACCCCAAAATAAGGTACCCTAATTGTCGGAAACTCCCATTTGTTGCCATGCATCAACCAGAACTCAGCCTTGTTCCCGTCTGAATATCCGGCGCTTCGTACGACCAACGACTGCTCGCCTCGGATCGCACCCCCCGTGTGGACGCCCAGACAGCCCAAAATCCCTATACCCTAAGTCATACTCCGAAGCCCCGCATATCATAACTAAAGGCATATTCCTTGACTCGCCTAACTTAAGGCAAAATTCCTTTAAAAAATGGGGCCAAGTGGGCTCTCACACCAAGTTTCGGCAGAACTTTCAGCCCAGTTGCCAGGACCGGCTGCTTCGCAGCAAGCGTCCTGAGAGTTACCGGGTGTCTCCAGGGCGTCGGCTTTCAGCACAAATTGGAGCGCTCCCCAGAAGCAGTTGAACATCTTGCCTGAGGTAGGGGCCAGGGTGCCTTTGAGGCTTTGGCGGGTTTGGGGTTTAGGGCTTTAGGGGCTTAGGGGCTGAGAGGTTGAGGGTTTCGGATTGAACTTACGAATTTAAGGTTTCGGGTTTAAGGTTTAGGGCTTGGAGTTTAGGGTTGAACATCCTGCCTGAGGTCCGTCTTGTCACACTCTCTAGCCGAACCCCTATAACCCCAAGCCTGAAAACCCTAGCCACCAACCACCAAACCCTAAACCCCCAAAGCCCCGTAATCCCTGGGACAGCGGCACGGAGTTCACTCTGTTCTGCCAAGTGGCATAAAGGCGGCAGCTTCTCCTCACTTGGGATTTCGGGTTTGGGGTTTCGGGCTTGGGGTTTCGGCTTTCGGGCTTAGGTTTCTGGGGATGCTTCAACTTCGCTGCTTGGAGCCCAAGACGAGAGTCCGGCAGAGCAGCCGTCGCAGCTGCGACGGCACCTCCGCTACCTTCAGGCGATATCTCCTGGCACGACGGTGCAGCGGTGATAGGTTTAGGCACCCTGAACCCTGAACACTAAACCGCTTCAAGTTGAGGGCTTCAGGTTTAGGGTTTCAGGCTTTAGGCTTTAGGGCCTAACCTGCCCCTTCATGAGGAAGGCGACCCGTAGTTTAAACGTATGGGCCCAACGTGCCTGCAAACGAATGAAGCCATAAATATCAGTTCACAACTGAACTAAATAGTCAAAAAATAATCGCTCATCAAAGTCCATACAAGCTCATTCGTTATCTTATGGAATCTCAACACCCACGCAGGTCTTTCAACAACAGAACGAGCTTCTGTTATTTGAACAGTTTGGAACTGCGCAACTTCTCGCTATGTGCTATGATCCAGGACGACATGTTCTGCTTGCAACCTGTAAGCGCGGAACATCCAGGGTTCACGGTTTTGGGTGTCGGGTATAAGGTGCAGAATCAGGACAAAAACAAATCGTTATGTAGCATCGGTGCTTCAACGGGACACGATGGTGAAAGTGCATCTAGACAGGTGGAAGTTGTGGTGAGGATTGAAAAGAGCATTTTCGAAAGTAAAGGAAAATTACAGTCACCTGGATGGACGTTGCTTACGGCTGTTTACCAACTTCGGAAGGACATGAACGTGCTGTGACGATGTACAGTCAAGTCCCAGGCTATAAAACACAGACCCTGTTTCCCGCTTCCGGTCCTTGTTATTCCTGTACCATTCCCTTCCTCGCTTCCGGACTGAAACCTCTCTCCTGCAAACGGCTAATATCTCCTGATCCTCATTTATGCTCCTTCCCTAAACCCTAAACCCTACTTATTTGCTGCTCCCTACTTCTTGTTGATACACATCTCGATCCCGACGCTGTAAACAAGCTGACCACGGAAGGATGAATAACAATTCTAATGATGGGTGTGGTAGTAGTAGTAGTAGTAGTAGTAGCAGTAGTAGTAGTAGTAGTAGTAGTAGAAGTAGTAGTAGTAGTAGTAGTAGTAGTAACAACAATAACAATAATAATCATAATAGTGACACTACTAATGATAATAACAGTAAGAGTAATAAGAAACCACTAGTCAGAACAGCAATCAAGGAAGCAATAACGATCGTAATAACAAACTAATAATAAGAATAGTACTCAAATAGTACTAGCATTGGAAGCCTCAAAACGTGGGATGAAGGTAGGTAGGATTAAGGATCCCTTATTTATGGACTCGTATTTTGGGATTCCCCCTAAACCCTAGACCTGCCTTCATCCCACCCGCGGAGCCCTTTGATAGCAGCGCCGGCCTCGGAAAAGGCACTGCCGCCTTTCTGTCCGATGAGTGCATACGAGCTCCTCAGGGCGGCACTTCACGGGTTTAGGTTTAGGGTCTAGCGTTTAGGGTTTAGGGTCTAGGGTTTAGGGTGCATTGGGTTGAGGGTTTAGGGTTTAGCGTCTAGGGTTTAGGGTTTAGGGTCTAGGGCAGTCTAGGGTTTTGGGTTGAGGGTTTAGGGATCGGGGACCTTTGAGGGATCCTTTTGAAGGCTCGGGCTCGTAGGCATACGTACCAGGCCGATGACTATGGTATATGAGTATAGTTCTCTACATTAGGGTCCCTTTTTCGGTCCCAAACACAATACGGCACCCTTGTAGAAGGGACCCTAAAAGGAACCCGAATTTAGAGAAGCACCCTTATGGCTGATTAGACATGTCGTGGTGGTTTCAGTCAGGGTGCCCTGTCTACGGGTCATCCATAGCATTCCACGGCCGATGGCTCTACAATGGGGCCCCTTCTAAGTTGCAACTGAGCTCGGGTCCGGAGTTTGGGTGGATTTTGGCTGAATTTTTGGTGGGTCTGCGCATGCTCCAAATGTCGCGTTCAGGGTTTAGGCCCAAAGCAAGAAAAGGTTGCTTCATTTCAGTTTGAATGGGTTTCCGCAAACAAAAAAAGGCGCTGCGATGCCAGCGCACCTGCGGAATCGACACGTCCGACATGCAACCAGCATATATTCTGGCTTCAAGATTAAAAGTTTAGAGATGTTTGGGGTCTTGGGCTGCGGGGTGCTAGGTCGACACTGCTCTGCAAAAAGCTGGCCTGAACGCCATCTGCTGGATGGACTCGGCCCCACAAGCAGCTATCAACGCTTTCGCCTGCGGGCAGGTATACAAAACTGCCGACCAGGCGAACTTTAGGGTTTAGGGTTTAGGGTGTGTAGACAGTGTGCGCGCGGTGGGTGCGCCTTTTACTTTAGGAATAGGGGCGCACCCACTAGTCTCAATTAGGGTTTAGGGTTCACCCCCCAAACCCCCCTCAAGGGGGGCTTTCTTGCTCTTTGTTTCATTTCGCAGCTCTGCAGAAAATGTGCGTTTCACAGCAACCAGAACTGAGATGGATTCCTGTCGGGTTGTGGGTCCTCGCGGCCTGTGCCGGCCGCTAGAAGCAAGCAAAGGTTCCCAACAAACTATTGCCTCTCGCACCCTGTCAGGGTTGCTCGAAAGCAGGGCAAAGCAGTGCGACTCTAGGTTTGGATGCAGGGCAGGGCAGGGGCAGAAGGGCAGGGCAGGGCAGGGTAGGGCAGCCAGGCCAGGCCAGGGCAGGGCAGTAGTTCAGCGCAGGGCAGCCCAAGGACAGGCCAGGCCAGGCCTGGAATCTGCCAACCTGGGGCCCCAGACCCCCTCCAGGACAGACCAAAAAGACTAACGTATTGTGTGAAGCGTAGCGGAGTCATTTCCGTCCCCGTATACCGGGAGGCTTTCCTCCTTCACCGCTTTGACAGGACGCTCGGCCGGGGGCCTCGGTCGGAGCCTCGAGCGCCCATGGTCAGCGGTGCTCTCGGCAGTTAAGGTAGAAATTATCAAAGCTTCCTTCTTGCACTCATAACAGCTCCGTGCACACACTCGGGGAGAAGGCTACGTCTTTTCGGTAGGTTCTGCCCGCCGCAGGCACGTCCGGGCTCACACGTGCGGAGAGGAAGTCATGTGCTCTGTGATGCGGCTGGTCTTCTAGACAGGACGGTAACAGTGGGCACTCGGTCCCTCCTCGACCCACACCACCATGAAAAAGCGAGACAGGGTCCGGTGGCCGCACACAACATGGAGAAAATCACGGCCATGCCGAGCATGCCCCCGGCCCAGGATTCTGTATTACTGCCCCCAAGATTTGGGGACACGACGCTAAGCATTTTCTTGAAGCTACCATCCCCAGATGTTTTCACGGAACACACACACACACACGCAGGCATATCCAAAGGCTTCAGGCGAAGCTATTCCTGGCTCTGGCGTTCTCTGGCCGATGTCTAACAGAACTTCGCATTCAGGCTTTACCCTTTTTTTTGAATTCCTTACACGAACCCTGAAAGCTCATGCTTGGACCCTCAAACTAGGCCCTACGCCACCGTGTAATTAGTAACGTCAACGATTTCGACTCCAACTCTACAAGCAGCCCTAAGCCCTAAAACCTACAAACGAAAACAAATCCTGAACCCTAAACACCAACAAAAAAAAATTAAACCCTGAAAACCAAAAAGAAAAAACTCCAATTTTTTTTCAAAACGCCTAAATACAGGCCTGTTGGCTCAGCATGGCGGAAGCCTCATCCACGGCTGCCATGAGGATCCTCAGCCGAACTGAGCGCTCTTCTGCGGCTCTAGGGCTTTGGGGGTTCCTTTTGAAGGTTCCTGTACTAAGGGTTCCTTTAAGGGTTTCGGGACTAAGGCTCTAGGGCTTTGGGGTTCCCCTTTGAAGGTTCCTGTATAAGGGTTTCGGGATTAAGGCTTTTAGGGCTTCCGTAAACCCTAAACCCTAAAGTTTGAGTAGGGCTTCAATGTTCTCGGGTCTCGGGGTTTGTTGGCTTTGGTGTGTCTATGGGGCTTAGGGTTGAGGGCTTTAGATAGGTTGAGGTAGGTTAAGATAAGATAGACAAGATCAGATAAGGTAAGGTAAAGTAAGATAAGATAAGATACGATAAGATCAGATAAGATCAGATAAAACAAGATAAGATAATATAAGATAGGATAAGGTTAGGTTAGATAAGATTAGGTTAGATTAGATTAGATAGATTGATTGATAAAGAGATAGATTGATATGATTTAGGGCTCTATATATATATAATATGTATATATATATATTTTTTTTATTAATATATTAATATAGAGAGGGAGAGAGTGTGTGTTTAGGGCTTGGGGCTAAGGTTAGCTTTCAGGCTGGAAAGGCTTTGCAGAAATACTCCGGACGGGCTTCAGATTGCCAGCGGCGACGGTGGACAGATAGCCCTCCAGCTTTGAAGAATCCTTTGTCGGCTGGCCCGAGATGTGGGTATAGAGGAAATGGGTCGGGAGGGGACCCTAAACCGTAAACCCTAAACCCTGTAGGGTTTGTGTTTAGGGTTTAAGGTTTCGGGCTTAGGGTTGGGGGAAGTGAAAGGAAACATCACTGGGGCGCTGAACTTCGCTGAGGGTGTCGGAAATCGCAATGCAAAGCATACGCAAGCAGCTCCACAGCACTTGCTTAGCTGAGCATCCACGAACGTGTCAAAGGTCTCTGTGTGCTTCACCTTGGTGTAACATACCCCAACCCTCCAGGTACCTACCATAAAGGGCGATAGGGGCTCTAGTACCCTATATAGTAGGTACCTGGGGGGTTAGGGATACAGAACCAGTGATGCTGTCACATCAGCACTCCGGACAAATGCTGCTGCAGTCTCTGCTATGCTTGAGGCCCGACTCGTCCCAAGACCCTCGTAAACCTGCTCTAAACCCGGAACCGTTACACCGTGCTCGAAACTCTAAACTCTGAACCCTAAACCCTAAACTCTGAACCCTAAACCCTAAACCCTAAATCCTAAACCCTAAACCCTGAACCCGAAACCCTAAACCCTGAACCTGCTCTTGCATCGAGGCAGCGATGTACTCGCCCAAGGATCCGGGACGCAGCTCGACGACAGTCAACCCACGAGCGCCCGTCGCGTACACGATGTCCCAATTCCTGGGGCGGGTGGTTTAGGATTTAGGGGCTTCGGATTTAGGGGGGTGTATTGTTTAGGGTTTAGGGTTCAGGATTAAGGGTTTAGGGTTTAGGTTTTCGGGTTCAGGGGTGTCGGGTCAGAGAAGCCGTGAGCTTGGGGTCTAGAGTTAGGCTTAGGTGTAGGTTTAGGCTTGTTGATACTCTGGAAACGAAGATCATGCAGGGGTGCCCTTTGGATCCCAAAACACAACATTTTATTTATCGGCTTTGTATTGCTGTTGGAAGCTGCCGTACGCCCTACACCCCAGCCCTGAAACGCCAAGCCCTGAACCCAGCCCCAGCAAGCCCGAGAACGCTAAAGCCCTGCCACCTGGAGTTTGGTCAATAAGTTGTCATGAACATCCAGTAAAATATTAAACCCAGGCGCTGGCCAAAATCGATGCTGATGAAGCCCAGTAAGGCTTTGATGAATCCACAACCAAGCCTTTGATGAATCCCGGTAAGAGCTTGATGAATCTCTCAACTTAAGGTTTCATGAGTCCCAGTATCATTTTGTAAACCCCGGTAAGATGTGATCAATCCGTCGGCGAGACGTTAAGCCAAATCGTACAGGGGTTCGCCAAAATCTTGCAGGGACTCACTCAAAACAACATCGGTGTTGGTGCTTTGGACGATTCCCGGGGCAAAAAAATGGCGTTGAATCCCCTCAGAACCCTAAAGGTCGCACCCTACATAAGTAAGAGGGGCTCTGGGGTTTGGGGCTTAGGGTTGTTCTCTGAGCTGCAGGAACGAAAAAAAGAGGGTCCTGCCAGCAACTAACAGTTCACTGAGAGCTACTTTCGGAAGCGCAGCCAAGTCTCAGCCAGAACTGGGCGTAGTTGCCGTCGGAATACCCCGCACTGCGCACCACTATCGAACCTTTGCCTCAAGACTGCTTGAAGGATCATGGGGACTTAGTCATTTAGGGTCATGAATAAAGGTAACTATGCTGATGACTTATGATTCATCATAAACCCAGTTAAAGTACTTATACGTAACCTTACTCACCAAATCCCCTCCTCCAAGTATCTTTGCCCTTGTCTGGGAGTTAGGATTACGGGGACTTGTTGGGTCCCTTTTCAGAGAGCCAGAAGTAGTAGGGTTGAGAAGGGTCCCCTTTAGGGAGTCTCCCTCATACTACCCAGGATTCTCATGCAGTGGGTGACCACCGGATGACCTTCAAAAACCGGAGCTTCCTGCTGTACTAAGGCACCGCTGCCGACCCCGTCGCAGCATGTGCCCTGGGCGCTTTTTGAAGAGGCTAGGAATTCATAGGGTTTAGGGTTCAGGAATAGGAGTTTGGGGTTCAGGATTTTGGATAACTGCCTTCAGATGTGACCCTGCTGGCCGGCCGACTTCCCCCTTATATAAACCTACACTTCTAAACCCTAAATCCTAAACCTAAAACTCGGAACCCTACACCCTAAACCCTAAACCCTAAACCCTTATAGATCCCTTGAAGGAGCCCTAGAAGCCCCGTCCCCCTTTCCAGTGTCATCCCTTGCAGCCCGGGCTCCCTCGATTCGCCGGTGAGCTCCCACGCGCTGCTCTTCAAACCATGGTAAGGAGGACAGTCATAGGCCTTGCCTTGGCTCATCATTAGGGTTTCGGGTATAGAGTTTAGGGTCTAGGGTTTAGGGTCAAGGGTTTAGGGCAGAAAAGACATGTGGGTTTCTTGATGTCAGGATGGTCCTTATTGCTTACAAGCAGGGTTCTTTATGGTTTTATGTCAGGCTCGTCATGTGCAGCCGTGTTGCAGAGAGCAAGAGCATCACAGGGTTCACATTCCTGGGCTTGGGGTTTACAGCTTTGTCCACAGGTTTGGAAACAAGTCCAAGAGGAAGAAGAAGAATAGTGTTGAGATTATTAACATAAAAATGTAAACCCAACAATACCAGTAGTAATCCAAGATGAGACGGCAGCTCACTGCCTCACCCACTACCAGAGAGAAACTGCAACACCTAAAGCCCTCAATGCTCTGCCTGGTACGTTCTGCAAAAGAATTCTTCTACCCTTAACGCATGTTCTGTACTTTGAGGGGTGTAATGTAGTTGACCAAGCCCAGGTGACATGACGACGAGGCTTGCAGACGAGCTTCGTTGAAGCACGCGTGCATGTCCGCGGAGGACGCATTCTCCGCAATGTGCAGGCGACGATGAGCATTCTCATCGCCGTAGCCGTAGTAGTATGCCTGAGAAGGTGCCCACACAATCGGTGCACTTTGGCTGCTTGTCCTGAAATCAAGCTAGTAGCGAACGGGTCGGCAGTGCTACATGCCATCGGCACAATCTCCGCATGTTCCCAAGCGCTGCCATTGATAAATTTGAACCTGAGGCACTCAAGGGAAGTTCTATGCTGTTTAGGTTGAAGTCGCGAGTCATGCACTTGACGAGAAACAACCTCAAATACACTTCAGCAGCCGAAAATTTGTTATCAACATGCACAAGAACCGTTCGGACACCCTTTTAAGCGAGGCGCTCGTAGGACCCTGCAGGCAAATCCAGTGTTGCTACCTGGTGGTGGTGCAACGCATCTTGAAAGTCTGGCACACAGAAGGACCCGCCATGAGCAAGCAAAGCTGCATAAATTCCATCTGCGTCCTCGTCTGCCAAAGCCTTCCGTGCACTGGCTGAAGCTTGCAGTTGCCCACGACCCCCAAAAAGAGTCTGCAGTCTTCCGGCACTCCACAGAGAAAGTGCTGCTGACAGGCGGCAACGGCGCTGGGGATGTCCCAGCTTTGAAAGCTTCCGACAAGATGCGGACCACCAGGGGCCGCCTGCCGCCCTCGAAAATCAGCCTGCGGACTCTGCAAGGGAGAAAAATCGAAACCTCAAAGTAGAGACGAGTTGCATGTAGTTTTGTGGCGCTAATCAAGAGCTCTGTGCAGAAGATCGGCACTCTTTCAAAAAGCTCTTGCACCTTGAAAGTGACTGGAATTGCGAGGCAGCATGAGCCGAGTACGGCAGCGAGCAGTTTGACCAGCATCATCCACGCAATCGATGTTAGAGGCTTCTGCACAGTCTATGTTGCTGTCTGAGCCAAAACCTGTCGTGGCACAACGGGCATTCTGAGACTTAGCCTGGCTCCCGCTGGGCCCCGGCGAAACTCTGTTGGGCAAGGGTGCCGTAAGCTTCTTGGAACCTCCTTACCCAGAGAACCCAATATCCCTTAATTAAGTAATATACCTTAAATCATAATACTAAGGCCCTATAATTTTCGGATATTCCTTAATTGAGGGGTATTGGGTTTTCTGGGTACCTCCCTGCCCTCATCTGGGTCAGAGTCCGCTCGTCATCAAGTCAGGCCTGTGCCGAGCTCTGCCCCTGGAATCTAGCAGTCTTCACGTTAGGCGGGTCTAGAGGACTGCGAGAGACCAGTCATATGATTTCGATTCGACTGCATTCAAAATAGGATATGCACAATCACTCATGTGAAACACTCGGGCACAAATACTTTGGGGGGGGGGGGTAAAACACAGAAGTACAAAGGCTAGTAAGATGTACAGGTGGACTTTTCACACCCCACCGCCGCACGCTTGCGTCTGTAGCTTCAAAGTCACTTGGGGACGCTGGCAGCTTAGCTCTGCAGCCCGCAATAAAGTAAACACGTCCGAATGGCTTGTGGATGCGATCATGTCGCATGCGCTGCGGATCACTCTTTCGGAAGCCGGTATGGCAAAGTATTGACAGCAAAATGCGGCCGTGTCTCAGCAACCCACGGTCTGTGCAAGCTCCGGAACTACCAGACGGTGCACAACCCACCACTGACTACATATTTCATCATAGTTCTTTTCTAACCTTCGCCGACGGCTGGGCGCGGGCTTCGGAACCATGGTGCCTAGAGATCGAGGGTTTCGCAGTGGCTAGGGCCTGGAGTTTTGGCATTGGGGTCTTGGGACTTGTCTTCAAGGCAACCAAGTCCGATTGGAGTAGTCACGACTTTCCTCCAACGGCTCATGACGTTCGAAAACACGGCGGCTGCCGAAAAACCAAGGAAGTCTGTGAAAATAGAAGAAACCTACATACTCTGGAGACTCACAGCAGACATCGAAATCGTGACAAAAGCCGCACCCAGAACTGAGTCCATGGCTGCATCCGCGGCTCTTCAATAAAGACCGCGGAACATAGCAAAGGTAGGAACCTTGCAGCCCACATGAAAACCTCTAGCAAACCACACATGGACAACTGAGAAAGCTAGAAACGAACAACCGCCGTGTGGAGAAAACAATAAAACGGTAGCAACCGTGGAGCAACCAAGTTTCTCTAATTTTGGCTTAACACTGAAAATCTGTGCCTTGAAAACTGACGAAATCATTTGTCTGCGCAAAAATATGTCAACTTTTCAGAAACCAGAGCATAAACTTTGGAAAAATGTGACAAACCACAGATACTGCAAAACATCTGTTTATGGAAAAACCTATGGGCAGCGATGGAAAATGAGACCTTACGACACAAAAAAAGAAAACGAAGAAGAACAAAAAAAAATCCCAAAGAAGTGGGAAACCAGATGCATACTGCAAAAAAAGTGGATCATGTTGGAAACCGTAGAAACAGGAAAAATCTTGCCAGATAGAAAACTATCGAATGCAATGGTGAAGAACTGCCCTGACAGTGGTGTACAAGGATGAAAGAAACCATTGCCTGCTCTCACATCGTGAATCAGTCATGAAATTTTGCTGCTAGCTGCCTACGCACAGTTTCAACACCAGAAAAAAAAATAAAAAAACTTCTTTGGGTGCAATGTGCCCCAAAAGTTTAGAAATTTAGGTTGCAAACCCAAATCCGTACTTCTGAGGAACAAGAATGCTATGGTTGATTTGTGTTCTCTTGCTGTAAATTTTGCTAAAAGAGCTAAGGCATCCCGCGCCCAGTGCAAGATTAGAGAGCACACACAACATACAAGAATTCCGAAAGAAGCACACACCAAAACCACTTAAACGGCAAGATGATATCATGAAGACCACGAGGGTGCCTGACATGGAAGAAGCAGCAGCAGCAGCACCACCAGCGCTGTGCCGAGTAAGCGTGCAATGTATTACGGTGTTAAGCTGTATTCAAGCCCGTTGCAAGTGCTTGAGACTGCCTGTGAAAAGCTGGACTCGGGACTTCCAAGAGTCAGCTGTTTCAGCGTGTGCGTGCGTACCGTTCCTTGGGATCAGTCTAGCG